TGGCAAGCAAAGTTCTCCAGCAACTGAAGAACAAAGGCCAATGAATAAAACAAATTAATTGATCCTTAATTGGGCCAATTGGAGCCCCATAACACAGACTGTCCACAAAGGAGACATATTCCTTTATCCCGTGGAAAACACTAGTTTCTTACCAGAATGTTTTGACTCTGCTTCAATCTTCTTCTTCAGCAGAACTCCTGCATTCAGATGGATGCTCCATTGTGGGGACAGGTCCTCAATGTATTTGGGGCACCTATGGATGATCCCCAACAGCCCAAAGATTATTCAGGTAGCAAAATTAAAAAGGGACATGAACTTTTGATTTCTCTGACTACCAGAAGCCCAGTACCTGAGTGACCTTAGTCTTATCACTCCACCACTTCAGCTCTCATACACACCTACGCATGTAGTCAATGGAAGCAGAGTTGGAAAAAATATGAAGATGTTAAATGAAAACGTGGAATGTAAGTGCATGGCAAGCAAATTCCATGTTAGGAATCATTAGAGAAAAGAATGTAAATAAATCTGACATTCTAATATGACCTTTTAGATTTTTCTAGTGCAACTGTGTACTGGTAACATTTTAAAAGGGTACAGCTGGGAAAAGGACAGAAAAGGGCAAATAAATTATGACAAGGCTAAAACATCTTCCTTACAGCAAGAAATCCCACTGGGGTCTTCTTAAACCTTAGAAATGAGCCTCAAGAGGAACACGAATGAAGTATTTTCTCACTTTACCTCAATGTTAGAATCTGGGGTGATTTAATGGCATGAAAAGATTTCTGGAACCAAATGAAAGATCATTTCTCTTGGCTGCGAATATCAATTATTTGGGGGTGAGTGGGAGTCATGTCTTTCCTTCTCTTTTGCTGAAAGTTGCCAAGGCCTTTTAAGCAGTCTTGTCCAGGGGTGGCCTTCAAAAATTTCAGCAACAGGTTCTCTGCTAGGTGGGTGTGGCTGGCCATGGTGGGCGTGGCCTAGTCGGCCTCCTGCACCACGGTAAAGGGGGGCTGTTTTCACCTTCCCTGGGCTCCGGAGGCAGTTTCCGGACTTCCAGAACTCCAAACGGGCCAGTTTCTGGACTTCCAGGAGGCCTGTTTTTCACTTTCGCCAGACTCCGGAGGCTTTTCTCGAGCCTTCGGGAGGGAAAAAAATGGCCTCCTTCTGGAACTTCCAGGAAGCCCGTTTTTCCCCTTCCCCGAGCCTCTGTCCAGGCCCTGCTCTTACCTCACATCCAAAATGGACCGTGTGGAGACTCCTGGGAGAGGCAGGGTGGGTAGGGCCAGCCAGGGTTGAACCGGCGAACTGCCAAAATCAGCCATAACGTTAGCAACAGGTCCTCCCGAACCCGGCTGAACCCGTAGCAGCCCACGCCTGGTCTTGTCTGATTCTGATTAATACAACTAAAACACAGCTGTATACAGTAGGTAGACCTTCACTTGAGCCAGGGATTAGGATCGTAAATTATGCTGGTTGTTAACCACGTCACCAAGTGACGGCGTCCAATTTTACAAACTTTATTTTTTTTTACGGCCAGCGAATAAATGCCCCAAATGCAACCACGTGATGACGGATTTAATTTTCATCCAATTCTTTCTTTCCTAGATCTCTTTGTGGTCTCTCCTGGTGACCCTGGTGATACTTTTCATTCTCACTGGCACCATGCTGGGTCCTGAGCTTCTGGCTACTATTCCTGCCACCGTATACGTAGTAGCTGTGCTGATGCCTTTGGCAGGCTACGGCTGCGGCTACGGGGTAGCGACCTTGTTTCGCTTGCCCCCGCACTGCAAGCGGACGGTGTCCTTGGAAACCGGCTGCCAGAACGTCCAGCTCTGTACCGCTATCCTCAAGCTGAGCTTCCCGCCACAGTTCATCGGGAGCATGTATATGTTTCCCCTACTCTACGCCCTCTTTCAATCTGCTGAAGCCGGGCTGTTCGTACTGGCTTACAAGATATATGGAAAGGATTTGTACAAGCAAGAGCCTCTGGGAGGAGACAACGAAGAAGATACAGACATTTCTTACAAGAAACTGAAGGAAGAAGAAACCCCAGAAATTTCTTACGGCACAGTAGCTGCTGGGGATCATGGTCCAGGGGCTATGGAGGTGACAGACCGTCCTCTACAGGGAGAGGAGATCTTAAAAAGAACATCCCGTGTTGAAATAAACTGGTCAGCCGAGTAGGAGAAACAACAGGGATGCTGAGCATTTGTTGTTATGTCGTCTTTTTTCACTGCGCTCAGAAGTAATTGTTTTCAGAAACTGCACAACTGTATAAACCTCTTCAACCTCAGAAAATGATGCCGTCATCCCACCAGATAAGGCAAAGGAACAGGAGAGGAAGGGAGAGGGAGACAGAAAGGGAGGAAGAGGGGGAGAGAGAGAACATATTGATGAATGTATTTGATAACTGTAAACCTTCATCATCAATTGCATTTGCTGTTTTTTAAAAAAAACAAGTTGTGTAGCTTCTGTATTATTCAGCTTCTACATTGGAAAGATTGAAGTAAAGTTGTGTATCCTCATGACTGATTAAATTACTTGCAAATATGACAAACCATTAAGGAATTTATCTGAGCCTGCCTGCCTCTTCTACAGTTCAGAACTACTACTTCTATAGGAAGTAGAAGAATGCAGACAAGAAAAAGTACGTTTTCTTACTGGGATTAATTATGACAGACATTGAGGGGAGGGAAACTGATTAGAGGCACTCTTGTTTAAACAAAAAAACCACCGGTTCTTACTTTAACTGCAACATCTGTCTAAGATCTCAATCCGAGTTCTCCTACTTGGAATATATTTCGAATGCATCTAGACTAAGAAACGGAGCTAGGATGGGGGAAGAGAGGTCATCAAGACTGTCAAAGAGGTGACCCCCCCCCCAAGTACATACACCAGGCAAAACTAGTCTACTGAATTTTCTTTTTATTCCAAACATGCCTGCCTGCTCAGGAATACATTCTCTTGTTTCAAATCACTACAGTTTAAAAGGATTTAGGGTATAACCAAACAGCCGCTTAATATCTCTAAAACATTTCTATTGCTGTTATTTACAATTTAATGTAAAATGTTAAGGGATCTCTGCAAAAATCAACACTACAGCACACACACACACACACACACACAAAAACCACCATTGATTGAGCGAATCCTAGGTAACAGCTGGGATACTTAGTATCTTTGCACATAGTGAGTATATCTAGTTGTCATTGATTCAAAGCTGTCTATTTAAATTTGCAGTCACACCTGATCTACACGGACTTGATCAAATGAACCGGGGCAGTTGCTTTCTTCTGCCTAAATGCATCCAAGAATTGCAGCCTTTTCACTTTTTCGTTTTTATTAACCCAGTAACGGGAATGCCAGACAATTAATTGAGACTCCCCATTAATCGCCTTTTCTTCTAATGAATTAACGGCCTCCAAAAACTCGATTTGACAGCTGCATCCTGGGCGCGTTTGCCGCAAAGCAACTTTTGACTTGGGTTTCCCCGAAGGGAGACTTCCCAGTAACTCGGCCATCTCAACAGGAAACCCTGTTTAAACTAGGTTTATTTTTTTATTTATTATTGAGTTGATTTGTCCATCGCTTACAAGATAACCGGTATAAGTCTAAACACAGCTATGAAATGGATACACACAAGAAAAATAATAATAATAAAAAAGAAACAATAGGACATGGACGGCAGGCACGTTTTATTTTTATTTATTTTTATTTTGGAAACGCAGCCGACCCCGAGGCACGATGGGAAGGGCCCAAAGCCTCTCTGAAGCCGGCCAACATTAAACCAGGGTAGCGTGGGTTTTCCTCCTCCCCACGCGGTCAGGGACGGCGGCCCAGCTGAGGCGAGTGTCTCGTTTGGGGAGCAGCGCGCTGAGCGCAGCCTCCCGGGTCCGCCCCCCGCGGGGAGATTTAAGCGCCTTCGGGCGGGCGGGCCAGTCCCCGGGACGTTGCGCGATGGAGACTTTGATGGACGAGGCCATGGAGAGCTACGCTTATCCCTCGTACAACCCTTATTCCTACCGCTACCAGCCGCCCAAGAGCAAAAGCGGGCAGGGCGCCTGGCGGCATCACCACTACCAACAGCACCACCACCACCACCGCAACGGCGGCGGCGGCGGCTACTTGTCCGGCTACAGCGAAGCGATGGTGGCGGCGGCGGCCGAATACTTCGACAACTACCAGCGGGCGCAGCTGAAGGCCATCCTCTCGCAGGTCAACCCCAACCTGACGCCGCGGTTGCGCAAGGCCAACACCAAGGAGGTGGGAGTGCAGGTCAACCCTCGTCAGGACGCCTCGGTGCAGTGCTCGCTCGGGCCGCGGCCGCTGCTCTTTCGCTCCCGGGCCCGAGGAGGAGGAGGCGGCGGCGGAGGAGGCGTCGTCGAGCAGGAACGAGGCTGCCTGGTCAGCGGCGGCGCCGCGCGGCACGTGCGCTTCCCCCGGACCATCGCCGTCTACTCGCCGGTGGCTTCCCGACGCCTCCCCGCCTTCTTGGAAGAACCTGAGGCCCGGGAGCCGCCGACGCCCGACGCCGGTCCGCCTCCAAGCACCGAGGGGAAGGCCGCCGACGCAGCCCGCGCCGTCCGGGCCAAAGCCGAAGCGAGCGTCGCCGAGCCTCAGGAGCGGAAGAAGTCGGCCTCGGTCCCCGACGGGGCGGGAGGCTCCCCGTCGAAGCCCCAAGCCGTCAGTTCGGCCGAGGAAGGGGAAAAGTGGCAAGGCGAAGAAGGCGCACCGCAAGCGCTCGGGGAGGAAGCCGAGGCGGACAAGGCCCGCGTGCGCTTCCAGGTGTGAGGGGAAATCTTCCACAGTCCGAGCTGCCCCCCCCGTCGACGAGGAGAACCAGGCCCGAAGCCTGGTGGAGAGCCTCCCCGTAACCCGGGCGGCCTGCTTCGCCTACGACGCGCCTCAGCCGCCCGCGTTCCCCGGCAGGGCGTGGTCCCCCCCAAAAAAGCCCATAGGGCGGCCGAGCGACGGTGCCGGACGCCCATAAAAAGCGGCTGGAAGTCGGCCCGTTCCGTCGCGGCTGCCCCGGGGGGTTTTTTTTTCCTACAGTTTATCGCGGCCGCCTGGCTTAGAGGAGCGTTGCTCGAAGCGTGAAGCCGCTTCTGTGTAGAGAGCTTGGCAACTTTTAAGCCGTGTGGACTTCAACTCCCAGAATTCCCCAGCCAGCTATGCTGGCTGGGGAATTCTGGGAGCTGAAGTCCACACGGCTTAAAAGTTGCCAAGTTTGGGGACCCCTAGTGTAGAGATAAACTAGATGGCTTCACTCCCTTAAACACGGAATGGAAACCCCTAAAATCAAATTCAGGCCTCTCCTGTTTGTTCTTCCTTTGATAACTTGGCTTAAAACCCTATTTAGCAATAGAAGGGGAATTTTTTTTTTGCCAAATAAAGGGTGGTAGGTTGAGAGGGACTTCTTCCCTCAGGCTGTGAAAAGAATAAGCCAAGATTGCCTGTAGTTTTTTTTTTTAAAAAAATGCTTTTAAAGGAAAACCAGAATAAAGAATTCAGACGGGTGCCCAAAAAACGGACTGGCTATTTTCAAACACACAATGAGCTTTTTTTTTTTAAAAAAAAAAAAACACCTTTCAGATGTTAAACTAGAAGCAGTACTCCAGCAATACCGGAATTCCTTGGTGCCATTCACAGTTTATAAACTCCCAAGTTTGGCAGACATCCTGGTTTATTTCTATGACTCTGTCTGGGGTTTGCATGCCAGAGTAAACCATGATATGGTTTATTCCATGTTTGTTTCCCAGGTGTGGTTTGTGAATCCAGCCAGTGTTTGTTTGTAAACTTTTTCATGACCTATTTAGGGCGTTAAAGCTGACAATCTGAAGCAAACTTGAAACAATTATCTGAAATACATAAAGATCTTTGCAGCATCCTCACAATTGTCGGGGTGATCTAGACACTTGGATCACATTTACAATAGTTGCAGTAAGTTTCCTAGAACCATGTGATCAGCATTTGCCAACCTCCCGGCAAGCTTCCAACATACCAATTCTATGAAGCTGGCAAGAAGGTTGCAAGTCATAGTTACATGGATGCCTCACTTAGCAACTGCTCTGCTTAACAACAAATTTTCCAGTCCCAGTTGCTGGGGGGAAGGGGGGGGAAGCATGTGAAGTTGAAAACTACCTTTACTAGGTATTGCTTCAGAATGACCATCTTGTTCTAACTTCACAACTTCGATGTCTGAACTTTTAACTCCCGCAATTCTAGTTGAAGAATTCTAAGAATTGAAGTCCATGTATCTTAAACTTGCCCAAACTTGAGGATCGTTGCTCTGTTAGGTGGTTCCTTTGGTTTATTGTGGGTTTTGTGTGTGTACACTGCACAGTACCCTATTATGAGTTAGGCAGCCCTAGAAATCCAATAAATAAAAAAACGAATACAGTAGAAACCTGCGTAAATAAGAACTACAGAAATTCTGTCTGGGACTTGAAGGAGTTCCAGTCCAAGGATCTTCTTACCAGGTCATTGGGTTGAAGAAAGAAGATGTAGGATGAATTTAGAAGAGGACCTGCAGTGATATTCTATTTTTAACCCCTGTGTTTTCTAGTTCCTAGAACAGAAGTATGGCTATTATCACTGCAAGGACTGCAATATTCGATGGGAGAGTGCCTATGTCTGGTGCGTACAGGGCACAAGCAAGGTAGGCTTTGATGACTACAATCGTTTGGGTTAGTGTTGGGCTTCAGGGTTCAGTCGCTGGGGTATAGAGCAGAGGTCCCGAAACCCTGAGTTGCACTACCGGACCGTGACCCATTGGGAGCTGGGCTGCTAAAGCCACGGGGAAGCGTGTGAAGCTTCATTTTGCGCACAAAAGGGATTTAGGTTGTGCGTGCGAAACCATTTCCCCCCCCCCATTCCATTGCCCGAAGACACTGGCGGTCCATGGAACCAAAAAGGTTGGGGACCCCTAGTGTAGACCACTAACTTCCTGATGTTCCAGCAGCAACTTTGGCTGGCTTCTTTAGAGGCAAGGTGGTCTGCAGCTACCAGCTACAGTTGCTGGTGAAATGTCAGGAAATCTCCTAAATCCTAACATTGTCCAAGGTAGACTTTGTTTCCTTGGAGTGGTGGGAAGTGGGGGGGGGGGGGAGGGCAGAGGTGGTATTTAGCAGGTTCTGACCAGTTCTGAAGAACCGGAAATTCTGAGTAGTTCAGAAAACCTGCAAATCCTACCTCTGACTGGCCCCGCCCCCAACTCTTCTCTGCCTCCCGAGTCCCAGCTGATCGGCTGGATCTTCTTTGGTTGCCCTGCACAGGAGAATGGAGCTGGAAAGAAGGTTAAGTGGGTTGGGGTGAGGAGGGAATGGGGATTTTGCAGTATTTTTCCCCTGCCACATCTACCAAGCCACGCCCACCAAGCCCTGCCATGCCCACAGAAGTAGTAAAAGTTTTTGAATCCCACCACTGGGGGGTGGATGTTCCTGCCTTAGAAAAAAAGTTACCTTAATTTTCTCTTTCTTTTTGCAGGTTTACTTTAGGCAGTTTTGCCGAACTTGCCAGAAATCTTACAACCCGTACCGGGTGGAGGATATTACCTGCCAAGTAAGCAGATCCTTTTAGGACATCATTTAAGGTAGAAGGTCCATTGGGGATCCTATTCTGTCTTTTGATTCACTTGCTGAATATAAAGACAGATAGAATAACTCTACAAATTCTTCCATACAAAGTTTCTTTTATTGGGTTATATTAGGTATCCTCAAGGTAACTCACAGTTATGTTGAGATGCATCTAATGTCCAATTCTTTGCATAGTTGAAATCATAGTGTAAAATGATAGTAATCATCCCATATTTCATCCCGTAGTACTGGAGCCAAAGGGGAGAGGCTAGCATGAAGCTAGGGTCCAAGCAAGAGTGAAGAAACCTTCCCCAACCCACCAAGGGTCAGTTCAGTGACCAATCAGAGTTACAGATGACATGAACTACATTTCCCACATGACATGAACTACATTTTCCAGGATACCTTAACTACATTTACCATGGTGCATTCCCTTCAGGGGACAGCTCTCAATTCCTAACTAACTATCCCAAATCCCATTAACTCTAAACTGTCTGGACAGCACAGCTCCACTGCATGAGCTTAGGTTGGCATGGTTCCTCTCATTATTTAAAAACAAAGGTATTAGAATCCTTCCAACCAAGGCTCTGAAATGAAAGAGAGTGAAATGGGAAGGATGCTGGTGAGGAATCAAGCAGTAAGTTTTTGCTCCCAAAAGCAGCTGTTCTGATGTTAAAAGGAAATTCTTAATATCACCATGTGATGTTCCTTAATTCCATTAAATGTATGTCTGCTGATAAAAAAATCCAGCTGCCTTAAAATTAAGATCATTTGGATTGCTCCATTTAGTTTGCTTGACTGCAGATGGAACTGGTTTGCTCCTACTTTCTGAGATTTTATTACTTCCCAATCAAGTACTTAGAGATTCCCTAATAATCTGTCATCCAGGTACAGATCTGGTTTTATCCTACTTAAATTTATTTAGAGGGATGAGTCAAGCCCGGCTGATTGCTCCCAATCACAGCACTTATTGGGGGAGTCAGCTTATGAATCCACCAATTAGAGGACTGACACCTCAAGTTGGACTTCCTTCTTTGTAGGAATTTTTAAATATGGGAAGCATATAGTTTATGCCTCTTTTACATAGCTGTTTTTTCTTTCTACTGCCACATCCTTGACATATAAAGGCTCTTGTTAGGCCAAATGTCCCCAAACTTGGCAACTTTAAGACTTATGGACTTCAATTCCTATAGCCGGCTGAGGAATTCTGGGAGTTGAAGTCCACAAGTCTTAAAGTTGCCAAGTTTTGGGACCCCTGTGTTAGACCATCTGAGAGCAGGGAAAGATTTTGAGCTTTGCAATAACCATCTAGATTGAATGTTTCTCAGTTTCAACAATTTCCAGATGTGTGGATGTCAACTCCCAGATTTTCCCAGCCAGAATTCTAGGTGTCGACATCCATCCATCTGAAAGTAGCTGAGGTTGAAGAACATTGATTTGGATTGCCAGGGCATTTTACCACTTCCTTGGAGCAGATGTTTCAATACCACTACTACTAGCAATAATATGCAGTCTTAGTCATCCCACTTGCGACTGAACAGTATGCATAAATACAGAAAAACTGACCTCAATCGTATTGTCCCTAGTCAAAATTTTTGTTCCTGTGGAATTCATATACAGATCCAAGTCATTTTTCTTTTCAGTTACCCTGTTGCTTTTTGTGTGTGTCAATTTCAGAGCTGCAAGCAGACCAGATGTTCCTGCTCTGTGAAACTGCGCCATGTGGATCCCAAGAGACCCCATCGTCAAGATCTTTGTGGAAGATGCAAAGGCAAACGGCTTTCTTGCGATAGCACCTTTAGCTTCAAATATATTATTTAAGGAAAAGGGCATAGAGGAGAGTCCTCACTGTCAAATTGTACCGAGCAGAAATTTTGTTTGTTTGGAAGTAGGAGGCTGCCAAGCATGGGAAGGCTGCCAAGGAAGCAGAGATGTAAATCAGGATGGAACCAAATGCCTCTACCTCATTTGTTATAATTACATTAAGGAGCAGGAGAATCTGCTCGGTATATTCTGACAAACTACATTTTATTTTGGTATGGCAGAAGGGGTAAAAGCAAGCTCAAGTCCTTTTTTTGTTGTTATATGGGAAGGAAATCATCGTCTTAATATCTTCGTAGGGGAGGCTGCTGTAGACAGAGGAATGCACTGTGAGTCAACCTCAGGCAAAATAGGCAACTGTTGTGATGTTTCACAGTGACAATTGCCAATGCAGGCAAGCAGACCTTAAGGAAAACGTGTTAGATGTGATAGCATTCTGTTGAAAGAAGTAGGATGGGGAAAGCAAGCACGAATTCAGAAGTTGTACTACAGCACTGCGTTGTCTTCCAGCTGAGTAAAATGACATAATTGGGTGCCAGGTTCATAGGCATTATTATGGATATGTGTAGAAAGAAGCATGATCTCAGCAGCACACCTATGAAAGGAATTATTTTGTTGGTCAGTAATTATTTCATAAGATAATGCATCATCTGAAATTTTGAAACAACTAATATTTCCTTTGCCCAGAGTCAGTATGGTAATTTCATTATTTTTCTTGAGCATAAGTTCTCTAATAAAGTGACCATGATTATAATTGTGACTTATTTTTGCTTTGCTTCCCCCCACTTTGCTTAATGCTTATATGAATGCCAGACTTAAAATAAATCATTTTAAGTTTAAATACGTCATTTAAAAGTTCCATATAATACCACTGATTCCTTTGGTGCAAAACTCTGAATAATAGTTTGTGTAAGCATTGAACAATTTGGAATGGGCTACTATTCAGTTTTTGGTTTCTAGCAATGCTCAATTTAAGCATGAGCAGAGGGGAGAATATTATTAGTGTTACTAATCAATAAGGTTTCAGGGTGTGACTAAATTCTTCTGTCATTCAGATTAGTTGTAAGAAGGTTTATTTGTGGAGTCTACTCTAGACCAAAAAGAAGAAACTGGAACCAGTTTATAAGTTATGCTGCTTAGGAAAACTATTCTGAAATAATGAAGATGGCGTTCAAACTGTACTAGAATAATGTAAGCACACTAGGAAATGGGCAGTGTGTAGTTTTCACTGGCTGCAATCTGCTTGTTGACCTTCGACCAGCATTTCTCAAACTGGGGAAACTTTCGGGTTCCATCAGAGACTGAGGGGAAAAGTGTTCATTTGAATGCAACCAATCTCCCATCACCAAGCTTTGCTTCTTGGTTTGGGGGTTGGAAAATGTATTTTTTTTTAAGAAAAGGGTACTGCAGCTTGAGCAATTTTTATGGAAAGCTGCAGAGCATTTATGATGCTTACTGTAGGTAAAGCAGCATTTCTCAACCTTGGCAACTTTTTAAGATGTGTGAAATTTAACTTCCAGAATTCCCCACCCAGGATGGGTGGTTGGGATTGTAGGAGTTGAAGTCCACACGTCCTAAAGTTGACAAAGTTGAGAAACACTGAGGCAAAAGTTGGGCTGGAGGTATAAAGATGTACTGCAACATTGATTTTTCTAGTCCAGCTACCTATTAACTACCTGCTCCTCTGACAATTCCATTAATGGATATGGGGGACATGAGAAATTGGAAACATTTTTGATTTTGGGAAAGCAACCAAAGGTTTCCACTAGGAACTGTCTGAGAAGACTTGAGACTTGTGTGTCCTAATGGAACAGAACCTGGACGATCCAAATTTTTTTGGCCATGGAGAACCACATCTACACAAGCAACAGGTGCTGCATCTGGTGGGGCCTTTAGCTGACCGGTTTTATCTGAAAACTTTTAAGATATCTGGACTTCCAACTCCCGGAATTTTCCAGTCATCCATGTCTGGGAGTTGAGATTCAGATATCTTAAAGTTAAGGTTGAGAAACATTAGTTTAAAGCAGCGGTCGCCAACCAGTGGGCGGTGGTCCACTGGTGGACTGCGAGAAAATTTTGGTGGGCCGCAGAGAAATCTCACCTCCAGAGCACCCCCCCCCCCAAAGCAATTAATCCAGGCTGCACAGAAACGCAAGGCTGCTCAGCCCACATGGCCCGCAGGAACCCTCCCCGCCCACTCACTCCTTACCTGGCAAACTTGCTTGCTAAATTTCTATTTTTCCGACCATCAGCTGTGATATTTAGATTAGCTAGGAAGCAGGAAATGGTTGGATTTCTTGCTTTCTAGCTAGTCTTTAGATCTTCGGCTCTGCTTTTAAGCACATCCGAACCTCCCTTAGGACTGAAGGTTCTATTATTCAGTGCAGACTCACGGCAAGCAAATTTTATGTGACAGACTCAGGTAGACAATGGCAGATAGATCAGTGAATGAATCTGTGATTCTGTGAGCAGCTCAATCTGCCTGCCTTCTTTGCCTGATTTTAGGTAAAAATTGCTCTTTTTTTTGTATAAAAAATTCAATATTTACACACAGGTGAAACTCAAAAAATTTGGATATTATGCAAAAGTTCATTTATTTCAGTAATGCAACTTAAAAGGTGAAACTAATATATGAGATAGACTCATTACATGCAAAGCAAGATAGTTCAAGCCGTGATAATTGCGTTGATTATGGCTTACAGCTCATGAAAACCCCAAATCCACAATCTCAGAAAATTAGAATATTACATGCAATCAATAGAACAAGGATTGTACATAGAACAATATCGGACCTCTGAAAAGTATAAGCATGCATATGTACTCAGTACTTGGTTTGGGCCCCTTTTGCAGCAATTACTGCCTCAATGCGGCTGGCATGGAAGCTATCAGCCTGTGGCACTGCTGAGGTGTTATGGAAGACCAGGATGCTTCAATAGCGGCCTTCAGCTCTTCTGCATTGTTCAGTCTCATGTCCCTCATCTTTCTCTTGGCAATGCCCCATAGATTCTCTATGGGGTTCAGGTCAGGCGAGTTTGCTGGCCAATCAAGCACAGTAATCCCACAGTCATTGAACCAGGTTTTGGTGCTTTTGGCAGTGTGGGCAGGTGCCAAGTCCTGCTGGAAAATGAAGTCAGCATCTCCATAAAACTTGTCTGCAGAAGGAAGCATGAAGTGCTTCAAAATCTCCTGGCAGACGGCTGCGTTGACCCTGGACTTAATGAAGCACAGTGGACCAACACCAGCAGATGACATGGCTCCCCAAATCAACACAGACTGTGGAAACTTCACACTGGACTTCAAGCATCTTGCAGTGTGTGCCTCTCCATTCTTCCTCCACTCTCTGGGTCCTTGGTTTCCAAATGAGATGCAAAAGTTGCTCTCATCAGAAAAGAGGACTTTGGACCACTGAGCAACAGACCAGTTCTGTTTTTCTTTAGCCCAGGTAAGACGCTTCTGATGTTTGTTGTTCAGGAGTGGCTTGACAAGAGGAATACGACATTTGAAGCCCATGTCCAGGATCCGTCTGTGTGTGGTGGCTCTTGATGCACTGACTCCAGCCTCAGTCCACTCCTTGTGAAAGTCCCCAACACTTTTTTTTTTATTAAAAGTTTTATTTGGGTTTTCACAAAACATACAAGTACAAATAAAACATCTTTTTTTGAGAACAGCATGCTCCTGGATTATCATTTCTCCATACAGACATAAACTCAATTGCATATTCATCTTATGTATTCTAATCTATATCTTATAACTATTTTTGCAATTTTCTCAATAGTTTTTCCCTTTCCTTGCTTTCTGTAACCTTATTTTCAATTATCTCATTCCTTTCTAAGTTCAATTACATATCTTTTTCTAACTTGGTTTCAGAAAAAACTATCCTACAATCTGCAACTCTTACACTGCAAAAACATATGGACTACACAACTCGATCAGGACAAAGCAATAAATGCAATCTACATAGATTTCTGTAAAGCCTTTGATTCAGTGGTACACGACAAACTACTCCTAAAAATAAAATCCTATGGTATCTCTGGACACCTGCATAACTGGATAGAAGCATTCCTGTCAAACAGACAACAAATGGTCAAAATTGGGAGCATCCTATCAAATTCTGGGTACCTGTCAACAGTGGTGTCTCCCAAGGCAGTGTACTAGGACCAACTTTTTTCATACTCAACATAAATGACCTCTGATCATATCAAGAGCAACTGCGTTCTCTTCACTGATGATGTAAAGCTATTCAATACCACAGACAATACTGCTACCCTTCAAAAAGATCTCGACTATGTATCCGAATGGTCAAACAAATGGCAACTTCAAATCTCAACAAATAAATGCTCTGTCTTACATATTGGCAAAAAAAAATCAGAAAATAAAATACAGGCCGAATAGTCAAGATCTTGTTGATGATCCAAACTTTGTCCAGGATCTTGGAGTACTCATCTCAAATGACCTAAGTGCTAGAGCCCACTGTAACTCCATAGCCAAAAAGGCATTAAGAGTTGTTAACCTAATCTTATGTAGCTTTTTCTCTGGTAATATTACACTACTAACTAGAGCATACAAAACATTTGCTAGACCAATACTCGAATACAGCTCATCAGTCTGGAACCCATATTATGTATCTGATATTAACACAGTCCAGAAAGTCCAGAAATATTTCACAAGAAGAGTTCTCCACTCCTCTACTCATTGCAGAATACTTTATGCCACCAGACTTGAAATTCTAGACTTAGAAAACTAGAACTGTACCGCCTTCGGTCCAATCTAAGTATAGTATATAAAATCATACATTGAAATGTCCTACCTGTCAGCTTCATCCATAACAACACAAGAGCACACAATAGATACAAACTCAAGGTTAACCGCACCAAACTTGATTGCAGGAAATACGACTTCAGCAACAAAGTGGTCAATGTCTGGAATACTCTACCTGACTCTGTGGTTTCTTCCCCAAACCCCAAAAACTTTAACCTTAGACTGTCTACTATTGACCTCAC